AAAAAAAATATAGTCAATTTTAATAAATATTTAGTTGAATACTGCCAACTAAATATTTATTAAATATAAAGATATATTTATTTGATACAAAAAATGTTAATTTGATTTAACAATCTTTTTTTTACTGAACAAATATTTATTTACTGTAAATGTTTAGTTGACAGTATTTAAACTAAATATTTATTAAAATTCACTATATTTTTTCTCAGTGCACATTTCCATTCGGTGAAAAATCTCTGTATTGGATGTACGGATTGCAAAAGTATTATTGCTTAAATTAAAGTACGCACAAACAGGACCTCAACTGCACTGGATTTCATGAGAAAATCGAAAAAAAGTTTCAGATTCGTTAAAAATTCACATACTTTGGCTCGTACAGCTGTCACCTCAGATATATATTTGCTTGATATAATAGTTTTAGAGGCCATATCTTGAAAATAAGCGTGCAGCTGAGGTCACATTATTAAAACGAACGATACCGAGTTTGTAGAACTAAGATTGAAAGTCTAGAAAAGAAATATTTCCATCGAATAGAAAATACGTATATACAGGTGTTTTGTGAAGACTGGGACTGTCAACAGAGCCGAAATTCCGTGTAGCAGTAGTTGCGCGGATCTTGCGATAGATGGTGCTGGCATATGTTAGATAAGAACAGATGTATGCGTTTGAGTAAGACAGAATGATATATATTATATAATATAATGTAAAAACTAAATCAAAGATGTCACCACTATTATCGAATTTGGAATTAAAAAAGTCTGTACTATCGACCTTGATTGAGTTGGGTAATCGGTTTAGCATCCCCTTAAAGTGACGGAAAAATTTTCGATTAATCGCTCAAAATGTTGTCGAGCTACTTTTCAGGTGAGCGATTTTTCTTTCGAAATATGTGTGTGTTGTAGCAAAATATTTACTAAATCTGTTAAGTTTTCTTCTTTTTTTTTTTTAGAAACCACTCACAATATAGACATCCAAGGGTGCATTCGAGGAGCGCGCTATCAGCACTATTCGTATAATACTATCCTTGTCTCACGTCTAATGGATAATGAAGATAGAATGATATAAATAGCGCTAATAGCATCTCCCCGAATGTAGTCCAAGAAATGTTCTAAACGATGTCCCTACACTATTTCCAGAACGTCTCTTGGACGAGAAGAATACTGTATGAGAAGAATGTAACGATCTCGGCAGTGATTATCGATTTTCGATAGTTTAGCGACATCTCTAGTAGAAGAGCCATCGATTTTCAGTAATACTAACCAAAAGGTAGCAACCATGTTTATAATATAAAGAAATTAGCTTACGTTGTGCATCACATTGTTCAAAGTCGCTCGTATAATGCTAGCCTGAGGATTGAGTGCCGTTTGAAAGGTAGGTTGACCACCGACGAGGCCTGACCAGTGGCCGTTAACCACACCTTGAACGGTATTCAGCATAGGCTGCGACACTACCGGCATATTTGATCTACTGGTGGGAAGTCCCGATGGGGAGGAATGCGCGGGGTGCGTCACTACAGGCCTCGTCTGTCCTATTCGCGGCATCTGTGGTGCTGTATTCGCAACAGTCCCCCGTGGCATCATATTAGGCATCGGTACGGTACGCGTGTTTAGAGGTGGTGCCACTTTGTTTGAGCTCTGTACGGAGGGAGGTTTAGTCGCCGGCGGGGTAGGTGGCTGTTTTGTCCATCCACCACCGGCACCGCTTCCGTTGCTGTTCACCAATAACTGTGAGTCCATAACTTTGGTCGGCCAGTAGTCCTCGAAGCCGGTACCCGGTGGAAAGTAACTCTTAATGTCACTCAAACTGATTACCGAACACGTTTCACTCGCAAACAGTTCGTTACGTATACCCTGTACTTTGCAGCAAAATTTCAAATACGACAAATCCCAGCCTTCAAGCTTTTCCGCTTTTAGCTTGAGGTTTTCCGTCTCGCCCTCGAAATAAAACAGCGGCACATACTGCAGACTGTCCTTTACGGTGTAAGGTACTACAGACTCTTTGTTTATTCGTATGAAACCACATTTCTCCGCTTTGCGTCCGCTTGTCACGTTCGGATTGGTACCGGCGGTTAGTTTGGTATAACACACATCGAGAAACGTATAAAATTCCTTGGCGTCCGATAAACGCACCACCAGGTCCTTACACGTAAACACGTCCCTCCCGAATTGATTCTCGCAGTGCTTGGTGTTAATCTCGTTAAACAACTTGCTCTCGGCCTCCGTAATGTAATAACTCCTTATACATGTGCAACTGTAGATGTCCGAATGAAGAAAACTCAGGTACTTGTTGAGAAGCTTAGATTCTAGGATGCGTACGGCGCAATACTTTTCGCCGGAGCGAAATATATAAGGTATGTGACATTCGTCAAAGCTCGTCCAACCGAATCGTCCCCGCTGGCTGTCGTCGTCCGGCGTCGGCACTTTATTTTCCAAACCACCGGTTGGCGGTTTCGGAGCGGACGACCCATCAGTTGGTCGTTTATGCAGATATCCAAGAATACCGGGAAGATTAGGCTGCGGTATAAGACACTGCTGCCTCTGCTGTTGTTGTTGTTGTACTGCTGGCATGTTCGCCAGCATTTTCGCCTTGTGTGCTTCCACCATTTTGGCAGCCAATTCACGGATTTCCGCATCGTCTGGACGTTCTTGCTTGACGACGACTTTCTCAAAATCTGAAAAACGAGGACGTATAAGCCTTATATTTTCGAAAGTAGTTGTTTAACGCTTAGTTACCTATTATACATATCGCATCGCGAGAATAATATTATATAAGTGCAAATTTTTCAAAGAATACTTGGAAAAATTTCAATGTTCATTATGCCTAGAAAACTAATGTTTTTTTATTGTATCATGGAAGTCGAGAATTACATTGCAAGAATGAGTATTATCAGCAAAAGAAGTTCAGTCGACAGACGTGCTATTTATAAAATATATTCAATTAGGTATTGCCGACCGATGTTTTTGTAGCATATATAATAATCCAGTTAATCTTCTTCCTGGTTATTTATCATGTAAATTTATTAATTGTTATGCGACAACGCATAACGTAATCGTTAAATCACATCCGATAAATCCTAAATCGATTTGCAATTAGTATGTAGGCCGATTTCTCGCGCGCCAATACAAAAATAGCTTTTTTTGTGGTGATGCTCAGGCCTATCTATTACGTCACCAACACAAAAAAACTAATCGTAACTAATGTTTATATACTTTAGAAAATATCGGTGCTTAACACTATACAATGTCTATATAATTCACTGTATACTACAATAGTATTAATATTAACATCAACATGATGTGGATTTAACACCATGGATTTTAAATTCACACCATGATGGTGTTGATACAAACATCAGGAGTTAAAAATCCACATTAACGGTGAGAATTATGTACAGATATCGTATAGTGTTAAATCCACGTGTTAATATTAACACCAATATGATAAAAATCATATATATATACACTGAATTATTTATAATTAAAAATTAAATCTATATCAATATTTTTTAGAATGTATGGAACTATTAAATAATATAAATTAATGAAGTTAGATTAATCATCAGCTTTTTACGTATACTTTGTAACACGCAATCTTCGGATAATTGATGAAATTCAGTATTAATTTCTAGTTTTTCGTGTATACTTCGTAATACGCAACCGTTGAATTAACTAACTATAATTAATTGGATTTAATTAACTCTGGCAAGGTTGGAGTCAAATGACTTACGGCTTTGTCAATCTTTAAGTTTGTTTTACTACAATTATTTAAAATTAGTAAACATTATTGCACATGTCATATTTATGAATAAACAGAAGAAAGTTTCGTGTATTATTACTTATTCTTTTCAAGAGTTATGGAATTCTGATTGAAAATGGACAAATCAGAATGTTTTTGTTGAATTTATATTATAATTCTAGTTGAGACAATCAAAATTCCGATTGATCAGAACCTTCATTCACGACCCAAAAAATTGTCTTAATGCATCGATTTTCGCCGCGTGACGATCAAAGAATTCAAATTTCGCTCCGCGATCAAATCGATCCGATTATAATTAAAACCTCTTCGAGACGTGTCAAAACAATCGAGAATATATCCAGCGTGCAGCGTAAACACGCCGGTCCGGAGTGGTCGGAGAAACCGGCGGTGTCAAAAGGAAACAGGTAGGTAAAACTGACTTGTCGCGCACGTGACGCGTCTCGATTGAAGATCCTCGATCGATCCCGCGCGCGCGCTCGATGACACGGCTGCGGCATGCCGCGTCGTGATGACATGATTAGCGAGACATAAACCGCGTAAATGTAAACACTTCTGGCTCGGGTGACATCAAGAGACTACGTCGATTCAGCGTCGACTCGCTCGGGGGAGTCGTCCGCACGACGATTTCGGAATGAAACAGAGATCGACACGAGTGATCGCCAGCGAATTGAATTTTCTGTTCAACGCCGCGGGCGTGGAACGCAAAAGAATCCGCGATCCTTTTCTTCGATTCTCGCGTGTCAATCGCGTCCGACAGCACGGAGGAGACTCCGTAAACGGAACTGAATCGCATTCTCGAGTCCACGATCACGGCACGCGCGAACGGGATGTGTACGAAGAAGAAACGTACTCAGTGACATTCGTTCGGGTGCCATCCGCGACGGACTGCTCTTCTCGAGCCATATGGCGTCCGTGCTGCTGTCGGCACTCGCGACCGGTATGTCGGCGAAGCCGTTCCTCATCCTCGATGCTCGAGAGAGTCACCCTTGGATTGAACAGCGCGAAATTACATTTCGCAGTGCAGCTGAGGCGATCCCGTCACGCCACAATGTTCCCTCCGTTGAGGTTATAACGTGCAGCTGCAGCAGCAGCAGCAGCAGCTTCGTCCGTCCACCTACGCGCACCGCCGACGGTATCGCGCGCGATCCATGTTACACGACAGAGGGGAGAGGAGCGGAAGGACGAGGATGACGTATCGGCGGAATCGTGAACAATCCGTATGATCCGTAGCACGGGAAAGTCGCGTCGTTCCCTCTAGTCGATACTCGCATCGACTCTCGCAGTTTTCACGCTTTCCCTCGACGACGAGGACGACGACGACGACGAGGAGGAGGAGGAGGAAGAGGAGGACGACGACGACGACGTTTCACTTTGTGCGCCGACACTCTTATACCAGGTGGCGCGAAAGATTCTCATCATCGTTACTAACCCACCGCCGCCGCCTCCACACCGACACCACCACCAGCAGCGCGCTGCCACCGCTGCCGCCACCGCCGCCACCACCACCACTATCGCGCTCGATACGTCGAGGGTAAAACAAGGGAAGAACGGGATGTAGATGTACGTAGACGGTATCGTTCCACCGCCGACTACGTACATACTCGACGTCCGGGCGTAGCTCCGCGAACCACCGGAGCTGTCCCAAAGACCGCGACACTCTCGAACGAGGACAGCGCCATGCTATCGCGCGCGCGCGTGTTCCCGGTCTTCGGTGCGAAACCTCGATTTCAAGCTATACGACGACGTGCTGTCGATCGAGTTGCTGTCGACCGCCCGCAGCTCCGCGGGGACACTAGGCATCTCCTAGCACGCGTCTAGACCGCGTACATAGTTACATACGTCCAGCGCGAGCGACTCTCTCTGCTCTCTGCGCGGACTGTACTGACTGTACATACAACGCTAGCTAGGTATCAAGATCGCGCTCTCTCGCCAGTGTCGTCCTCGGCGGCCCGCGCTCGAACCGGCCTCGGCATTCCTGGGATTAAAGCGTGCGGGCACCTCCTCCTCGCCCGGCCCGGCGCAACGCGACGCGATGCGACGCCTCGCGTCCGCTGTCGACGACGGTCGCGGCAGTGACAGCGCGACGTCCCGCCGAAAGTGCCGTCGTCTCCGAAGACGTGTTCCGATACCCTGATATTGATACTTGACGCGTATACCGATCGATCAGTGGCAAGTCCATGTCTGGAAGTGACGCGTCGATTCGCGATACCCTGTACTCACATAAATGTGTACAGGGGATCGAATTGTGTATCTTGAAATAACGTGAACATTACAAAAGAGTGAGCATATTCGTTAAATACGTATAACTTCATTGGTATTTCATATTTAATGAAATACTTTGCTTACTTTTGTAATTTTCATTTCATTTCAAGATGTACAATCAATCCCCAGAGATTCGATTGTGTATCACACAGCTTAATGAAAATGGAACAACAAAAGTGAGCAAATGCATCAATTGATTACAAATTGTAACAACCATTCCAATGAAGTCGCCCGTTTTCGTTGTAATGTTCACTTCACAATCGAATCTCAGGGGTCGTATTCTCGAAAAATATCGCATAAAATGTACGAAAATATTAAACATAAAATAGTATAGATTTCGCTAGTATTTTCGTACACCTATTATTTTTTAAGAATAAGTTTTCTCCGAGGCAATTGCTAGCAAGTTCGAAACGTGTCTATACTTTGTGAACGATGCGCAAAGCCTTTTGCGATCGATAGATTTCACGTAAATCCCGAGTCTCAATCGTACGCAGAATGTTATTCTCGTTTATAGAAGGCAACAGAGAAAGTACACGCGGAATGAAACCGAATTATCGATCTCACGTGGGTTCTATTAATTTTAGATATTGAGCATGTAAACTCTGTGATGACGATTAGAATGACTGTGAATAAATGCTTCCTTACAATATTCGTATATTTTCGTGATTGAGTTCTTCGCTTCGAAAATTTTTGAGCGATTGTATAATCAATTGATACTGGGTGTTTTCCATTTGATGACACAAGTCGACAAAGTGTCGTTCTATAACATGTTATCAAATGGAAAGCACCCATTATAAAGTTTTGAATTATAGATAAAGAAATGTCAACTCTTCTTCTATCACCGTAAAACCTGTATCAGATTGGAGATTAATAATGAGCTTGAATTTGATCAATCAAAGCAAAGCTGACTGTACCTATTATTAGTTTTCTTTCTTCTAATTGGTTCATTTCAATCTGCAGTCTGAACGGTTTGAGACGGAAGTTCATTTGCATTTTGTACTTCAAACAGGATGCTTTAGAACTTAAATAAATATAGTTTTCATAACTGTAGTTTTGAGAGTCAAGCTTAAGGAAGATTTTTGTAAATGACATTATCACCGTTAAGTACAGTTGTGGCTTGAAAGATAGTTAGCTCATAATAATAGGATTATAAACGATTTATAGAGAAGTAGAATCGTATCTCGAAACGACATTCTAAAGATGTCCCAAGAACACCGTATCTCTTAAGGACATTTCCAGAATATTTCTTGGATAAAATATACTATGTAAAAATACTTGAAGCAACGATCTGTGCTGTATACACAGAATAAACCATTGCTTTCAATATTTGTTTTTTGCATGAAAGAACGAAAAGAAACTAGAGAGGTAGAACGATAAAACAAGCCATGTATAGCATATACACGACAATTCCATATACGTCATTAGAAGCGATTATTGAATATAGGATTAGAAATTGGCTATAGAGCTAACTTTATGCCCATGCTGTCGTTGCATCACATTAGAATTTTTTTTACTACCCTGGAAAAGATGGTATTTCATCACTTTTGCAATAAACGTATCAAACATTCGACATATATTAATCCTTAAAGAAAAAAAGACCTCTTTTATTTGAAGCGTGAACGTTTCGCTTTGGTCACGGTGCCTTAGATTTTCTGAGAAGGGGACGATGAGGGCAGAGGGAGACGCGCGATAGCGAGATGCGTGGATAGCTGATCTAAACGACCGCCCATCTCGAATGCGCCCATCGCGCGCGTCGTGTAGCATGGACCGGTTGCAGGAGCTAGGTACATACCGCTCAAAGAGTAGCCAGGACTGGCGCGTAAGATCGCGCGGACGATGTGACAACATCGCACGGTCGATATGCTCTTTCAGGCAAAGTGCCAAGATTGGTAAACGCACGCGGGGGTATATAGTCGTGGTTTCCAGGTATCACCCTCTCCCTCTCCCTCCCTCCCCCCCTCCCTCATCCTTCTCGCCATCCCTCCCTCCATCCTTCCCCTCCGCCCCTCTCTAACTCCCGCGCTTGATTCGTTGCTCTTCATCACTCCTGGAGCTCACCCGTGGGATTTATTCCGATGGTGGGGGCCACATACCGGGAGTGGGAGTACCAAAGTTGCGCAGAACCCAGCCAGACGTTGGCTCCCGCTCATGCCATTGCGCAGTTCTTACGTATATAAACCCGCCGGCTGCCTATATACTACATATGTATTATACTTATTATTTTAATCATGATTTACGAGCGCGGCGTTGCCGGTTCTCGCGCTCCGGGCACGCCCATTCCCTCCCTCGTCTCCACTTTTCAGCCATATAGGCGAATACACAGAAACGCGCGCGCGGAAAAGCAACGTCGCTTGATCGATACTTGAGAAACTTGCAATAAAAAAAAATTACTATAGCGAATACATTTCTTTGGTAATTCCAAGCGCAATTGTATATAAGTTAAAAACTCCTTACGCGTTTTTCTCAGCATCCCAAACAATTATTCATCTCCCTCTCGCGTATTTTTCTTTTATTAGAATAATTTCCAAAATTTTATTTTGCAAATACACGATATTCAGATACGAGCTTTTATTATTTATTCAATGCACATTCCGGGCTTGTTAAGTTTTATAAAGAGAGTCCTTGTGTAAGAAACAGTAGAGTACAGTACATCGAATACTTGGTTGATTAGGTCATATCGCATCGAGTAATGCGACGTTGCCGTTGCGGCCTTGATGGTACCTAGTTTTACTGCGCAGCACGTTGGGCCAGTCGTTTTGGCAACACTGGAAAGTCGTAGCAATCTATTTATAGTAGTCCTCTAACGTTGCTGTTGCTATGCCGAACAAAAGGTATATTTGTTTCAGAGGAGGGGATGAAGAGAGGTGGGGGATAAATAGAGTAGGGGAAAAGATCGGTGAGCGTAGGCGGTGCGAGAAGAGGGGATTACCGAAAGACCAATATGGCGGCGGAACGGATATATTCTCCTCCAATCTATCTGCGTTCTGCTATAACTCGCGCCTTTCCCCATCTTTCTTCCGTGTCGTCGCTCTCTCTCTCTCTCTCTCTCTCTCTCACGCGCATTCCCTGGTTCTCTATCGCCGCTCGCGATAGTGGCTCATCCTATTTCCTGTACCTCACGAAAGTACAACCATGACGATAGTTACGCAACGCGCGAGATACTACTCTAGTATGCGCGCGCGAGCGGAGTAGAAGGCAGACGAATTTCGCAGCAAAACGTTAATAAGCATTTCCTTCTCGCGCGGCCGACAAAGAGAGTCGACGACGAGAGACCAGATGAAGGTCACGCCGCTCGCGCGCCGCTTTCCCACTTCTCCTTCCGCGGGGGTGATCGCGGAAAGTAAAATAGAGCAAACGTAAAGGGAGCAAAGGTCGCGAAGTGAAAAAGATCCAGCGCGGTATATATGGATATATCGCGCTCGCCGCGTCGGCCGCCAGCCGCCGGCCGCCATCCGCGCGCGCTCTCCCATCCTTTACGCGCGCATTTCTTTTTTTTCACATAGCTCACGCGAAATTGCATATGGCGCCGTCCGCTCGTAGCAGCTGACGAGGTTTGCGGGGCGCTGCGCGCTCCTACGCGGTACCAAGAGCACGCGACTTGCGAGAGGCATAGCGCGCTTGCCACGAACAGCCCTCGGTGACGCTCGGCTCTCTCCGATCCGGAGTTTGCCTCTTTGTTACATCACTCTTCGCTCCTTATGTAGTACATAAGGGCGGATACATTATGTATCGCGTGCGGGCGCGCGGGGCCGCATATGTCCCTCCCGGCTCTCGCTCCGGTAGTACATAACGCACACACGTATGCCGCGTCTGTATGCGATATATGTGGTGTATGTGCATACGCGCGAGCGAGCCGGCTGGGCGCACTCGCGCGGCGAGCAAGCCCCAGCTCCCCGTTACACGATGCGCGGTTACAACAAACAAGCGCCGGTGCGTTCCCGGCACATTGCATTATTACATAGAAACACGGCTGCGCTACGCGAAACGATTTGACGGCGAGCGGTACGACGTATGGAAAATTCATGCTTTCGTAATAATAGCGCGGGAGACGCACCGCAAGGCAATTTCACGAAATTTAAGAGCGACAACCTTCGCTTTACTTTGCATGACAAATATAAAAGAAATTCCTATTCTAGGTCTATTTCACCATATTTTTTTATGTCACTCTACAAAGCGTAGTTGCATTGTCCACAAACGTATTAGTATGGATGTTGAACAAGTTAGGGGCACCACATTATATGTGGAGAAATTAAACTTATACCCCAACTTAATTGTAGAGAATAAGTGCCGTGGTATTGCAACTAAAATATTCCAGAAATTCATGTGCGTGTATGCGTATTTGCAAGTTCTGTTACTTGAAAAATGTACAAGAAATATAACCTTTTTCGATGCTAAACTTTTTAACTTCATAGTCGTGGAAAAAGATCTATATGTAACGGTAAAAAAATTATGTTATATTTCTGTTATATATGTACAGATTAGGACTCGGTGAAATACCTAATACGACTTACTTAAAATATATTATAAGTTCCAGAAGCTTATTTAAAATATAAACTAGTAGGGATCGTTAAAAAGCTAG